AGAAACTACGGATTAGTTAAAAAAAAAAAAAAATCTGAAATGTTTCAGATTTTAAATTACGTCCAAAGGGGCTTTTTTTTAACATTTTGTTGTGTTACCTTTCTTTATTAAATATCATGTTCCTCGCACTTAAACCATAAAGATTCCAAGTGCAACAGCAATATCGCAAAATAAGTTTTAAAACGAGCATATCTTTAGAATTTCCGATACACAAAAGAAAACTCACGCGCTGGAGATAAAAATGTTTTTCTCAATGTTTTTTCTGGAGATAAAAATGTATACGTTGCCATTGCTCGCTTTGAAATCCTTGAGTTTGTTAATCAAAAATTCGTCAAAGTTTTAAAAAATAGGAAATCGATCATAAAACAAATTTCAAATTTCAAATTTGGTCTTCCACATGCTCATATTCGTTGGAGGTTTACGTTATTCAAAATTCGATGACTCTATGTACCGTTGTTTTATCACAATACGAGAAATATACATACATTTATGCAGATTTTTCATTATTTAATTTCTTCAAATATAATGCAGGACTCTAACCTTTTGTGGCAACAGTTTGAAAAGTGAACCGACATTTATGAGTCCGACGCAAAATGCCAAAACGAAACTAATAGTCCTTCGGGATTCAAATCCCTTTGGACTAAAAACACGTGAATGTTATTTAATAATGATAAATGAAATAACTTGACACGGGGGGTTAGTTGCTTTCAGTTGTTGCCATAGAGTCATTTTATGATGAGTCCAGTACATAATGATAATTGCATATTTTAGTTCCTACTTTAATGACCATCCAAAGAAACATTTTTATGAGATTTCTCCAAACTCACAGTGTTACCCAAGGAGCTCATGGGTAAGTTTATCGCGTTGAACATTGCAACAACTAACCTAGCCCAAAGGGGCAATTTGCACAGAAGGGTTATTAATTACGTTGGTTCACTATAAAGAGAATTTCATTTTTCAAATTATTGCCACTAAATATTAAAGCTCTGCATTATATCTAAAGAAATTAAGTAACGAAGAATCTGCATGAATGTATTTATGTTTCTCGCATTGTGAAAAAACAACGGCACCCAGAGACATCAAATTTTGAATAACGTAGTCCTCCACTCGAATATGGGTATCTGGAATCCTAAATTTGGAATTTGTTTTACTATCTATTTCATATATTGCAAAACTTTAAAAAATTCTTGATGAGCAAACTCAACGATTTCGAAGCGCGAGCAATGGCAACACTGTACGGGGAAAAAAAAAAAAAAAAATTATCTCCAGCTCGCGAGATTGTCTACCGGAAATTCTAAAGATAGGCTCTTTTTAACTAATTTTGTGATATCGCTGGTAAATTGAATTGTATGGTTTAAGTGCGAAGAACATGATATTTAATAAATAAAGGTAACACACAAAACGTTAAAAAATGTCCCTTCGTGCATAATATTAAATCTGAAAGCTTTCAGCTTTTGCTTTTTTTAATATTTTAATTGAGAAATGGCTACTGAAAGTTTCTTATTCAGAGTGAAGCTTCTTCTCGCATAACATCTTGAGTACATTTCTACGAAGGAAATTAAAACCACGTGAAGGCATTATATTCTCTTTTAGATCTAATTTTGTTCAATAAAGATAAGCATTCAGACACGGAGTAAGAGAAATGATAAAACGACGTCCCAATCCATTCTAATTGAGCCTGTCTTAACTCGGTGCTTCCTCCCATCAAGAAACCGTAATTGCGGATGTGATACTTAAGCCCATAATTTCCTGTCCCCCCCCTTTTTTTTTCTTCTTCAGGCCACAATTGAAAATGGTAGTGAATAAATACTGCAGTTCATGCTCTTTTCCATGATACTTTACGCGCGTACTATGTTAGTTATATTGTTAATATTTTGTTGTTTCCTCGAATTTTATTAGAGATATATTTCTTATTCAATTAATTCGGTTCTCACTTCGCGGCAAGGGAAAAATACATAAAACCTCAAAATATCTTTTAAAATTTGTAAAACATGGAAAAATATAAAACGCCAAACACCGTTAAAACAATTGAAAAAATAATTTTTACTGTTAAAATTAGAGTTTCTACGCCAAAAACAAGCGATTCGACCAGCGTGCAAGAAGACAGATTTTTCGATGCACAAAACTGAAAGTTTACTTTTGGTCCCACACAGTAAAAAGACACTGAAAGTGCAGAAACAGACTTAATTTACTATTCTGTTAAGTTTCGAATGTAAAAATATATGGCTGCTGTGGTGAAAGAAAATAAATTTAGCCGCACTTAAAACAATTTTTAAATTGTCGATAATGCTACAACTATTGCATGCAGATTAACTAAAGGCATAAAAACCTTAACCGGAAGATAAGAACAACATAATTCAATTATTTTTAAAGCAAAAAATGCACAATTTACCGACATATAAGAATAAAAAAAACGGAGATCATTGAGCCGAGTAACAGAGTGGGTATATATATATACTTTTGGGTGCGGCCGATTGCAAACAAAAAGGGAGGTGCATAACTACATGTTATAATAGTCCTATATAAAATATTTCAACGTTCTGGTTTTTTTTAGTTACGCGAAACACATAGATACACATGTCACAAAAAAAAAAAACTCTTCTGAATACATTTTAAATCCTTTTTGCAACCCGTTTTGGGGAAAAGAGTTCTTTATTCTGTACTTACGGACAGATGTCACGCAAAAACATCGTGAAATTGCATTGGATAGCGGTCAAAATGGATATTTTCGTTGAAATATGATACCCGAAAGTTTCCGCGATTACGATACTTCCTTTACTTCTTACAAGGAAGTAAAAGAAATTTTGTGCTGGGGTTTTTCTCATATGAAATTGCTTAAAACCTAGAACAAGAACTAATGTATTCTGAAGGTTATTTTTAATTAAACCAAAAGTTAATTATCTGATTAGGTATCTTATTAAATGCTTAAGAAAAAATATACCAAACCATGAAAACTTGTACTGAAAGAGTTATAAGAATAACTCTCCATATAGATTTATTTAGATTAATAAGTATTTAAACTGGTCGTAAAAATGAGTTAAGTTAATGAGCTATAGTAATGATCTAAACGAAATAATGCCTTAGATCTACATTCTCGTTACTTTGATACAAAAGAATTTTTCCAGACCAATCTAAACAAGTGTTGTACACGCCTTACATAACAGTCATTGGTCTGTTAAGGCCAGTTTCTAACCAATCAGAATTATATCCGTGGAAAAAAATGCGGTCGTACCTGACACATAAACTTTCTTCTAACGTTTTTAAATGCGTGCGTGAATAATGCGGCAATAACAAAGTGGGGGAAAAAAATGAAAAAGCTTTTAAAGAGGTCATTTTTCCGAAACGGAGAACTAGACTGAACCACCCAGCTAGTTTTGTATTATCCTGTCGCCTTTTTCTTTATTACTTATTTTTTTAAAGTTTTTCCTACGTATGTTATAATTGTCATTTCTTACAGGTATTTGATTTTTCCCTTCGTTTGCCATCTGTTAAGAAATGCTACGTCACAGTCGATGTTTTTTTTTTTTTTTTTTTTTTTTTTTTTTTCCATTTTCCCCACGTCGGGGTTTCTGCTATCACTTCTGCCCCCTCCCCTCTCATACACTTGCAAAACACATGAAGCGCAACTGCTGAATCTATTTAGATACGTCGGTTCTTCCTTTAATTCTCCATTTGCACTTTAGTAAATAAATAGGACTTCAGCTGGAAGAAAGTATCAATGATGCGTATGCATAAAATTCCAGCTTTTCCAATCAATGCCAGTGTTAATAGTTGTGTGTTGAATTATTACTGTTAATTTTCAACTAACTTTTGTTTGGGCGACCCAGAAGGCTAACAGATATCTTGAATATGTTAAGAGAAATTTACATAAGTCTTCAATTCACAAATGGTAAAAATAATAATAAATAATGATTAAAAACAATTACGTTATTTGAAATATGAACAATCTAGTTTCTCACTGGTATCTTTAATACGTTAAATCAAACCAGATCAAAAGCAAGCACTAATGTTAGCAATGAAGCAAAAAATTTTCACGTCAGTCTAAAATAATTCCATTTTATTTTATTTTAAATTTTAATACTTAGTTCCTTTTTAATTTAATATAATGGCTCAGCAGCGGTCGAGCGGTAAAGTCGCTGAACACTGCTAGTTCGGTACGAGGTTCGAATCCCGCGAACGGGCTGGCTACACGGGCGTTTTCGTGGTTTTCCTCAGGTGTAACGTGTATACGAGCCAGTTTCTCTTAGAAATTCCTCCACGAAGGCATCTCTTCTCATAGGCAGAAAGCCATCGAGTGCTTTGAGGCAACCAATTAAACCGAACTGATCAAATGTAGATAGAATCTGTTCTTTTTTCTTGCTGTAATATCTGAGTATGTTTTTATGTGTAAGGAATATTGATGGAATTAACAACAATTAGTAATTTTTTTTCATATGTTTACAATGATAATTTATTTTTCTAGTCATAGAAAGTAAGACATGGAAAGCTAAATTTTAAAAAATCGGATTTTTATAAACTTAACTTTAAACATTAATAATTACAAAATTATATTTTCTCACCTCTCCCTCCATTTATCTCAGTTTATAAGTTTCTCGTTTGTCGGAGAAATTCATAAGTTTCACTCGTAAATCCACTCGCTATGAAAGATTATAGAGGTTAACAAACTTTTACTTAAAATTTCTACTAAGTATTGATAAATGTTATTTGGAAGCTATTGCTTTTCTAATAAACAGAAAAACATTTAGGGAAAAGGTCTTCTAACCCTTGATTTTTCTAGTTTTCATTGCATTTTTACGGTATAACATTAACAGGTACCTATATCACTTTTGCTTTGGGGGAGGGGAGGATATTTGTGAATGAATAGTTCCATTGATGTTTGTCAAGAACTAATCATATATTCTTCCATTTGTGGAAGGCTAAATTTGTTAACAAGTTATCTCAGTTAAGTTCAAGGCTAGTTAAAAAAACTTAAATTATTAATGAGATTCTTTTGCTTTCAGGTGTAAATGTGGACGTTAATCAGTTAAACCTCGATGATATCAAAGACTTGGTTTGCCAGTTAGTCCAAAGGAATAACCAACTGAAAAAGCAAGGAAGGACCGACGGCATCAATCGAGACTTGGATGCTATTTCTCCCGTCTCGTTCTTCGAGAGGTCTCGGCACGTGCCTTCTTACCTGTCCGCCCGACGACCTCTCCGCAAGAGGACGTGAACGGCAGCCGGTAAGTGTCAAACGTATTACTTTCTTGTCTCTTTTGAAACATTCCAAAGAACATTTGTGTGAAATTTTTCTTCCCTTAGTCCATTGTACAAGTCTGGTGTCTTGGTGTCCGAGTTCTGTTTTCATTAGATCATGTCATAGAAAATGTTATTATCTATCGGAAATTATCTCTCTGTCCGTTTCGTTACACCCTCATAGCTTTCCTTTCTTTAATGAAATGATTACATTTCTTAATGAAATACATTCTTTCTGTTTTAATTAAAAAGCAAATTCAACATAAAATTGCAGACATAGCATACTTTACAAACTACATATCTCGTTAAAAAAGAATTCTTTATATGCACAGTTTTCAGTGGTTGGCTGACATTATTCTTTAATAAACTCAACTCTGGTAGCTTTTTTTCAGTTTATGAGTGAGTTTTGATCATCAGTTTTTCATCAGTGAGTTTTGAGTTAAAATAATAAAGGAACACCTCACTGATTCGGTAACTACCATGAGACATTCAATACAGTAATCTTTTGATAACCATTTAACGTTACTATCATCCGTAAAACTCTCAGGTTTGGTATGAACAAAGAAATGTTTTCATAGTTATATGACTTTCGCCACCTTTAAAATTTTAGTAAAGGTCAAATTTGAACAATAATAACCAATGCTCATAAGGAAAAATTTCATTTTCTTGCAGTTTCTTCAATGGCTTCCTTTAAACATTTCATTATATCTTTAACAGGACACCAGGCATTGTGTTTTTCCAAATGTCCTCACTAACCATAAACGTTTTGCGTATGGTTTATGAGAACTACTTTTTGCTTTTATATTTATATTTTTCAGAAAGCAATTAATAACGTTTTGAAAACATTATAATTTTCCTTTGGGTTTACTTCATCGATGAACAGTGCTGTCATATAGCTTCCCACAATGTTAGGAAAGAAGAACGGTGAGGAATAAAAGCGTAGTTGCAGAACCATTAACTCCTGTAAGAGACGCGTTGTGAATTATGAACCTTAAAATCTCTGTTCATCAGTGGGGTGTGTGGGTTAGGGGTCAGGGAATATGCGGGTGTGGTTCTCGGCTCCACCGTTGCCTTGAGGATGGGCAGGGTACAATACCAATACCTTATGGAAGGATAAGAAAGAAAATAAAAAGAATTAGGGTGTAGCCGATTAGTGCACAAAAAATACCTTACCAAAAGCATCCATCCATTGACCAAATGCAATAAGACTTCCCACTCGAAAGCTGTCAATCACAGCACCTATATGGTTCCCACCCACCCACAATCGTTTCTGCATCCGTTAATTTCTCTCGGATAGACGGACACTCCCTTGGAAATCGAAGCGCGCCGAGCTGTTGCACCAATTTGTATTGTATTGCGGTAGCCGCCGGGCCAATGGCTAATCAATTGGATGAGTTGAGTTGTTCTCTTGAGGAGGAGTGAGGAATTGGGCTTGTTGACGTTGAGAAATGGGGATTCTGGACGTGCACCGGAATAGATAAGTGGCCTCGAATCGAATTTCAGTTCGATGCAGCTGTTGATGATGGATGCAGGAGGTGATGGCTAGGAGGTTGTGCAAGGGCTATCGTCAGAGATCGTCATCTTTTCCCTGTAGCTGTCAAAACTATCTACACGTGGACTTTCTTGCTATACCTCAGTACCTGAAATGTCCTAAACAATATAATGAAGTTTTTAACTAGTTTAAATAGCACTTGTTTGCATCCAGATCAAACTCAAAATTTCATGTCGTTGTAAGAAACAAATTAAGAATGAAATAGACATTTTAAAGAAAAAGAGCAAGTTTCGACTTTGCGTCATAAAAGACCACCAGCACCATCATTGCATAGAGACTCAAAATGTAAAATCTGGGAAGTTCATGAAAATTTTAGCAAAACACTGTGCAGCAATTGCATTAAATGTAATTTAAATAAAATTGTATAACACTTTTATGTTGTACATATTCATTGTAAACAAAATGTGTATAATAAAATTGCATAATACATTTAAACTTCATTTCTTTAAACTATAGTCATAACTATAGAATTTGTTAACTGTTTTGAATAATTAATTACCAAAACAGAAAACATTGATTTAGCTTTCTTAATTATTCATCACTAGTTAAAGCATTGAAAAGGGCCAATTAAGAATTACTGTGTGAACTACGTATATAGCTTTTTAATATCTCTCATTTAGAACAAAATTAAACGAGTTATGCTAATCAACCAGACTTTTATTAGAATGTCCCCGGTAGTGATAGTCTGCATTAAGAAACTGGGGAGCGAATTCACCGCGTGCCACTAAAAAATTGATGATGTGACACTTGTGCACGTGGCAGTTGTGCACAAGTAGCACCTGCGCACATCATCCCTGTAGAAATATGAAATTTTATAACAGGTGTAACTAATTATGAACCCATGTGACACTTCCACACAACTTATCCAAAACAATGAATCAGCCTTGGGATTTGTTCACATGGTTTTTCGTAAGAAGTGTTCGTTCCTGCACTGATAGTCGTTCTGATTTTTTTATTTATTTATTTAATAAATTCTCTTTAAAACATTTTGTAAAGCAAATTAGTAATTTAGGTCCTTGTACCAAATTATCGAATGATAATAAAAAAGATGGTTTTGTGCACAACTGCTACTGAACTATACAAATTACTGTTACCCATCCACCAATGAATGTTTCTTGTGCGCAAGAGTCCCTGCTTTTCGGCTCGTGCGCAAGTGCCGCTAAACGAAACAATTCGTGAAGATACGCACAATATCATTTTCACGGTTTTGTTTTATTTGGATGCATGCATTTTAAAGGCAGAAAACCAGGATAATGATTAGTGATTTTGACTGCCATACCGAAGGACTCGGGTTTGAATTCCGGAGATGGCTTAGATGTTTGTAAATGTACAGTGTCTGTGTGGCATGGGAAGGCTCAAAATATGCAGCGAGCCTAAAGCCTTCTCGAGAGGTTGGTGGTAGAGAAAGAAGAGTGGGAGACCTTGGGTCCCGTCCCCAGGGTGGTATGGTGCCCAAGGCTCTTTCCAACATCATGTGCACTCTTGCGACGAATGTCGTGGCTTGATCAGACATGCGTGATTAGTGACAACAACAGCACTATTTAAAAAAAAAAAAAAAAAATGTTGGAAAACAATAGTTAAAGTTGTAAACATCTGTTTACAAAACCAAAGACTGTAACGAAATATCTGCTGAGTATCAACTTTGATTGTATTATATTCGACTTCATAATATATCGAGTCCTCTGCTCAGCTTGTTGCCTCGCATTTTTCATAGATGCGAATCTAAAATTTCCTTATGCTACTGAAAACGTCCACATCCTAGTCAGTGGAGAAAAGATGCGATTAGCCTTTCAAGCAATAGCTCAAAACCCAAACGGATAATCTCGATTATTGCTGACGATGAAATAGATCATTGCTTCGATGTTATCATTTCCGTGATTGAAATTGCCCATTCCTTCTTGCGTATTGTGGGTGTTGACGCAAACTTTGGGTGGAGGTACCAAAAAAGCAATGGATGGGCCTCACTGGGCGGGGTTTTCGTACAGACATAATTTACGGTTTTACAACTGTGTTTAAGTTTTAATAGTTGTTAAATATCTGGGATAATTGCCCAGTAGTCGGGCACGCCTCTCATCTCGCTTTCCTGCACCTGATATGGATAAGTTGCTCACGAATGTGTTCCTGAACTTGGATTCGACCTTTGCAGCTATTTGGTGGTGGTCTGCAGAGTAATTACGCGCGCTTCTGCTTGAAGGGTCTATTAATCGGTGACACTGGAAGAAATGGACTTGCAGAGATTGAGAAATTTGTACAATGATGTAGGCGGTGATAAATAAGTTAAAGGGCTTGTCTGGAAATGCTGATTAGGGCTAATATTTGAGACTGCCTGGATATTTATACTTTTCATCTTTGGTCTTACTACACCATGAAGTATACAAGCAGCTATAGTTTCATAGGCCGGTTATATTACGGGTTAAAGGCTTCTCAGAAAATCATAGGCGTATGAAAAGATTTTTTTTTGGCATTGTAAGATACCAGGTAAATTTCCATACTTTATTTTAATTATTTATTTTTTATTAGCGTAAAATTTAAATTTACTCGGGCTATTAATTTCGTTTTGGTATTTTTCGTCGTTCCACTATAAAAAGGCGTTTCACTTTTAAAATTGTTGCCACCAAATATTATCACCCTGTATTATATTTAAAGAAATTAGGTAGTGAAGAATCTTCATGAATGAATATATATGCTACTCGCATTGTGAATAAACAACGGTACTTAGAGCCATCAAATTCTGAATAACGTAATTCTCCACTCACCCGAACCCGGGCACCTGGAAGCCCGAATTTTCAATTTCGAATTTGTTTTTATTGCCTATTTCATATTTTGTAAAACTTTTTAAAGAAATTCAACGATTTCAGAACGAGCAATGGAAATACTGCACGGAAAAAAAATCAAATCTTTTTATCTCCAGCGCGCGAGACTGTGTATAGAGAATTCTAAAAGATATGCTCTTTTTAAATATTTCTGATATTGCTGTTGAATTTAATTTTATAGTTTATGTGCAAAGATAAATTACAAAACATTAAAAAAGGGAGCCTCTTTGGGCATAATATAAAAATTGGAAAGCTGTCAATTCCCCCCCCCCTATGTAAAGTACTAGATAAAATTAAATATTTTTTGTCAAGTTTTCATTTGTAATAAGTCATGATACTTCCTACTACCAAAAGTTGTTTTAGAGGATAAAAAATAAATATGAATTTTCGCGCATTATAACTCATACCAGTTTTTGACATATGACTCCCTACAAATACTTTTCGAATCATTTGTGCCATTATTGTATGTATTCTTGCGTGTATTTTATAGAAATAAGTGCTTTTGTTCCTTTTCCAAACTATATTTCATTTTTTCTTTAATTTCAGATATGAATGGTAGAGCCGAAAAAAGTTGTTAAAGATTATGATGCAAGATAAGACTGTGGTAACCAGTGCAAAGTTGTAGAACAAAATCGCATGCACTGAAAATAGCATTGTTGTATATATTTGTGGTTATTTGTACTCAAAAAGATACTATTGTATTATGTGGATATATTTTTGTACAGACCAATATAAGGTCTCCGTGTAAATACAATTTTGTACATATTTATATAGACATAAATATACATACATTATAAATAAATATATATATATATATATATTGGGCTGGGGATTGAAATAGCCCGATTATAAATTTGAATAAAAAATAACTTTGGATAAAATATTGTCTTAAGTTTTATTTCTTTCGACATATAAGATGCAGCTTAAAAGAATAAATCACAGTAATTGATAAGAACAATGAGGTTTGATTTGGTTTATTTGACTACGGCACACGAAGGCTATCTACCCAAGGAAAGCGATGCCTTCGTGGAGGATTTTCTGTTAAAACTGTGAGTTCTTGCAAGCTGTTAATGTAGTTAAGTAACGCAGAATTTTATGACTATTTGCCAGTGTTTAAATATTTATAGTGCTGGCGTAAAAAGTTTTTGCCTTATGATGACATCTTGCTTCTCTATCCTCCACTTGCAACAAGAAAGAGCACTTTAAATTATTCGAAATTGTTCCAGTTTGCAAAATTGTTTATTATCAATCTTTTCTAAAAGTAATAAATCTGTGTTTAATCTTAATAATTTTAACGTCTCAGATGAATCGTTGTTGTCTTTGAAAAACGCAAAACCTTAATAAATAAATACGGAGGGTAAAAAATAGCTCATCTTATAACAATTATAAAAAATACAATAAATGTTATACAATACTTCTATAGCAGTAATAAAACTTTAAAATAATTCCACACTTAAGCTGACTACATAAGAAATGTATTAAGATTTTATTCTTAATTTTATTGTAAATTATTATTTTAAAAGTGATTTTTAAACTTTTATTGATTTTTTTAAAGAATTTTTTATACAATTCTTTAGCAAAATGGAAAAAAGTATGTCCGTATGCTTTTAACAGAACAGTACCATCTAGAATAGTACATCATCTTGAAAATTATAAATCAATCTTCACGCATAGAAAATTGGATGATCTAAGAATAGGTGGTCCGTGAAGACCCCGAAATATTTTGCGTTTTTATATCAAGATCAGGTCATAATAAAAATTATTTTGTGACCATTTTACGTAAAAGGATCTCAATGAAAGACATTAACAAGAAACTACCATTATAAACATTTGAAAATTTCTGTCTTCTATCAATAACAGTTGAAAAGTTGGCTGGGTACTGAGAAGTTTTGAAAGCTTTTATATATTAAAAAATGATCATTGCTATGCTTTGGAGTAGCAATAAGGGTCCTGACGAAGGTGGGGCAAAAAATGGAGAGCAAGCAGAATTCCTCTATTCAGATCCATTAGAAAATGTTCATGTATTATTGGTTATAGTTGATCCGTAATTAATTCATATGCATAACAAAAAAATCTGATGTGTACGCCACATGACTTCCTTGTATTGGAATATTAAATTATACGCATTTTTTCTTGCATTTCATTTAAACTTATTGGATTGAATTAAATCTACTTCGCCGACAGCGCATAAACCACAATAGAATAAATGCCTTCTTTAAAATTCACTCTAGTATTTGTTTACCATAGCGACACTCTGGCGTTAGATTCACTTAACAGTATTAATAATTATATAGCGGAAACTAAGTTATCTGTTATATAATCCAATAATTATATAACAGTTAACTCATATATTTCGTTCATATTATAACTCATAATGCACAAAATTTATATCATTTAAAGAATAGAATTATCTAATCGTTGCCACATGTTCTATTCAAATACTATAATAAAGCTAGAATGATGTATAAAAAAATTAAGCAAACAAAAACAAAAAAGAAAAGTTTTTCACAGACGATTGAGTATTCTCTTTTAATTCATTTCTCACTTCGCGAGAAGGCAAAAATACATAAAAACTCAAAATATCTATATTAAAATTACGAAGTAAATTAAAACGCTATATTTCCTCGAAAAAATTCCAGAAAGGAATTAAGCATGATTTAATTGGCAATAATAAATGAAGGCGTTATCTTTGTTGTTGCGAAGCTAAGTTTCTCTAGATTGGCAACAAATCCACTAGTCTCCTGTTTCAAATGTAAACATCAATGGCCGCCATTAAAAAAAGGCTTAGCGGCAATTAAACAACTTTAAAATTGCTGATAATTCTAAAAATATTGCACACAGATTTACTAAAGGCATAAAATCCTTAACCGGAAGATAAAAACAACATAATTCAATCATTTTTAAAGCAAAAAATGTACAATTTACAAACATATAAGAGTAAAGAAACTGAGATTACTGAGCCGGGTAACAGAGTGGATATATATATAAATATATTTATATACGTTTGGTGCGGGGCCGATTGCACCCAAAATACGAGGTGCACATCTAACATGTTATAGCAGTCCTATATACAAGATTTCAACGTTCTGAGGCTACTCGTTTTTGAGTTTGCGAGTTTGCGAGATACGTACGTACATACGTTCGTACAGACGCCACGAAAAATTCTCTTCAGAATTCATTTTAAAGCAGTTTTAATTTTTTGAAGGAAAGAGAATTTTATTCTGTCCTTACGTACAGATATCGCGCAAAAACATCGTTAAATTGCATTCGATAGCGGTCAAAATGGATATTTTCGTTGAAATATGCTGCCTGAAACTTTTCGCGATTACAATACTTCCTTTTTACTTCGTACAAGGAAGTAAAAAGATTAATTAATACAGCTTATAAAGACAAAAAAGATAACAAGGTTTTTGAATATGAACTTCCCTTACGCAGACTTTTGTATAGAAGCGTCTTCTTTAAACACATACAATATTTCTCGTTACCTTTATAAAATAAGATATTACTCCATATCTATGGTTTTCCATCCTAACAGTGAAAACTTTCTTCATTTAAAATTTTTAAAAGAGAAAGGAAGAATAATTTTACTTAACCAATAATTGTTAGCTTCTGAGAATGACCAGATGAAGGATGCATTATTTTTCTTTGAATGAATCTTAAAAGTCCCTGAACAGTTTATGCAATCGTGTACCGTGCACGTGTTTTAAAAGTTCTGAAAAATATAGCTATCCAACAATATTTTTCATACTTCGTGATAAAACGAAAACTAGACTTTTTTAATGGCGAGTACTAGCCATTTCGGCTTTTGCCACTACTAAGTGCCAGAAGTAGTGGACATTTTATTATGGAGGCGACCACCGTTACCTCTATGAGGACAGACGATTTACATCCATGCCCTCTCCGGGTCGCAGTTGGCTTCCCTATCTCTACACCGTCTGGGAGGCAAACTGTATCCAGAATAGGATAAGGAATTGGAAAGACATAATTCTGAAGTCGGCACTGCAAACGAATGTAAGAATGTAAACATGGCTATAATTTGTGGCTGGAAATTTCACTTCAAAGTAGTGAGCGAATACAAGCAAAGTGAATAAATTATACAAATACAGATCTTGCACCAAAAAACAAAAATACTGGTTTAGTACACTTGCCTTTTAAAAACTGTTGAATTCCTTTGGATATTTGTTACGAAGAATGCTAAAAAAGGGGGGAGTACAACTACCCGAAATTTTTTGTTATTTTATTGAGAATTGCTTCCATAATCTTAAAACAGCAACTGTATCATGGATTGTGAGTGAATTAAATAATGCACTTTAAAACTGAAAAGAGCAATTTTTAGACAGTAGTCATAGGTGCAAGTATGAATCAAGTGCTTGATACATGAAATTATTAATGCCTCATTAACAGTATAAATCAAAGTATTAAGAGAATGTATAGCAAATATACGTTCATTTAAATCCAGGGTGTCAAAGAAAATTTTTCGAACGTCAAAAGATTCAAAAAACGCCTTAAAACAACTAAACAAGAAAATAAATAAAAACTGATTTTAAAAGAAAATTTGCAACCTTTTATATTTATCAAAGCAGAAAAAAGTTTTTTCTAGGTTAAAAGCATGAGGCGGAGAATTTGCTATATATTTAAAAGCTAATATAAGAAAGATTTTCTTTCATTGATTTCATTAGCAAACATGTCCCAAATCAACCTTCTAAGCGACATGTTTAACATGGGGAAATTCCCAAATGTGTGCGGAAGTCCGCGAATTTCCCGGTGTGCAGAAATCACACCGATTAAAACTGTGCTTCATGAACAGAAAGTTAATGTTCCGATTAAGCACCCCAAAACACTTATAGCCAGGACAAAAAAAGAAAAAAAAAATTTTTTTTCAGGTGTTTTTTTTTTTTTTTTTTTTTTTTTTTTTTTTTTTTTTTTAAATTTTATTTTTTAAGAGCTGATTTTTTTCATACGTCTTAGAATGGAGAGGCATTTGATGGTACAGAAAAGGAAATAACAGACTCTTTTTACGAATTTCCGAAAATAAATATAAACGCCAGTTACAGCTCCTACGACGTAGAAACTAACCGGTACTTGTGTTGGAACCTAACGGTTGACGATGAGAAATTGTGTTTGCGAGTTATCGCCTCTATTGTTGTTCTACAGTAGCACACAAAATGAGAAAAGTAAAGCAAAACTTGATTTGTGATGACTTATGGGTAAATTCAATTAAAAATAGAAACAAACTAAGCTACACATTTCTTGTGAACATACAACAGCAGTTACTTACTACTAGTATTTGAATGTTAAGAAGCGAGTACAACAAACAAAAACCTACTCAGATCTATAAGACTTTGCATTGGAACGAAAAGCGCTTACCGAATTTCCCCAAATCTTCCGTAGTTCTGAATTCTTATTCTGTAAGCAGCTTCTGCAGTAAGACGGCAGAACTTCGAAACAAATACGTATTATCACGTCGAACATGCAAGTTGGCAACCATCGAACCATGGAAGATGGCAGAGGTCCCGCCAAAGATGTGTTAATCGTTCTTGTGGAATTCTGAAGGAATACTAATAGCTCTTTACTTAATAAACAGTACACTAGCGAGTAGGTGGTCCCAGACGTAGGCTTAAGATATCCTTACACGTTTATAATGACCCAACCCCTAGAGGCGTAAATCCCCGGTTAACCCAGGGGGACAGCTTTAGATGCACATAGACTAGGAAAAAATAACAGATGTCAATGGCGACCGGAAAGCAGTCACTAACAAAGATATGTCGTAGACTGTCCACCAGCAGCCAAGAACAACCTTCGATGTCAAACTATGTAACGTCCCCACAACCATGGGGCAGACAAGACAGAGACAGTACCAGTATGGTCCCTGCCGAGCTTA